TATCATAAGGGTGCTACCAATATACACATAAAATTTTATATCATCAACAAGCACCCCCATTCTCTCTTTACATACTCATTTATACACATAAAAAATTCTTTCTGTACAAATAATTGGCTAGCCTTACTTTCTCATTGAAATACGAAAAATATTTAATATTCTCATAAAGATTAGTGCAACTAGCATGTTGCTGCAAATGTACATAAATTTTGTAGCATCTTTGATTGCCACCATTTCAAAACCCATTTACCATGCTTCATAATTTTGGTATTTGCAATTTTTAAGAAAATTATTCAATTGAGTGGTTAAAATCTTTCATTCTTTTTATTTTCCAGACATATTGGTTTCAAATTCTTTTATTTGCCAAGCCTGATTCAAATTAATTTAATAGGTGGATTAAGATCTTAGATAATTTGTAGCCCAATTCCAAAGTAAATAACAAAACTAAATCCGCCAAATTGTCGATGTTGAGTTGCAAATGATTTTCTCGTAGTTCACATTAATTTGATCACCATTTATACAAAAAATATTTTTCCCCAAAACAAAAAGTAAAAGAAAAAAACTGAAAATAAATTCTACAACTAAACTCAAGGTCCTTCCAAAACTGTGGACGTTGCTAAAATAAATATCCACCAAATTTAAGCAAGCAATGGATGCATGAATAATAACTTTAAATGGAAAAAAATGTAAACGTAAAAAAAAATAGCTCAGATGCATTAGAACTGATTTACGCAAAAGAATCTTCATTAGGGCAAAACAAATGCCTAAAGAAATCACCAAGAAAAAAGAATAAGAAGAAAAGAGTAGCTCATATGTACCAAAATAGCTAATTGGGGGAAAAAATTCTTCAACATGGCAAAAAAAATTAAAAAAAATAAAGAGATTGTTTTGGATTTCGAACTCTAAAATCCACAATAGAGAGACGGCTTGCTTGAGGTGCTGGAATTGCAATGGTTGCATAGGGTTTCGAATGGCAATAAGTGCCAGCATAGAGAGTCATCGAACTTTTCTTGAACTTTTCGATATGCTCCTCCCATTTCCCTCAATGTTCACTTTGTGTACCCTCTCTCAGCCTTCTCTCTCTAAAGTGCGGGGGGGCTTTTCTAATCCTAAGCCTAATGCTTTCTTTCAATCTTCTCTGTACCTCTCTCTCAAAAGGGTTCTTTCCATCCCTAGCTATGAACCTCTATGTACCTCTCTCTCTCTTTAAAGGGTTCTGTAATGAACCTGATGATGGAGAGAGACGTCTAGGAAGATCGAGAGAGAATTTGGAGGGAAATTGTAAATGGCAACTAGAGCTTTCCGTTTTCCCCCTCTATATTTTTTTTTAAATATCCACCATGTATTTTATTGGACAGTGAAGAAGGTTGCAACCGCAGCTGTTGCAATAGGGCTGTAACCTTATTAAAACTTTTCCCTACACACATTTTGATGTTCGGAGTTTTTTTTAGCATCAAAACAACTTGTTTTGATTGGTTTTTTAGAGTTTTTTTAGCATCATAACAACTTGTTTTGATTGGTTTTTTAGTACGCCTTACTTTGACTCAGTGTTTCAAAGATCGTTGATTCGATCCAGAATCGGTGATACCGCTCTAAATGTAGTATCGGTAAAACCAGGTGGTTCTTACTTTTTTATTTTTCATTCCGGAGTTCTTTTTTTGCACCCTAGTTTTTTTGAAATGTGATTGACAATTTTCATGCCGCCAGCTCCTTCATGCCAGCCTTCCTCCCTACACGTTTTTGTAGCATCAAAACAACTTGTTTTGATTGGTTTTTTAGTGCGCCTTACTTTGACCCAGTGTTTAAAAAATCGTCGATCCGATCCGGAATCGGTGAAACCGGTTTTTTAGTGCGCCTTACTTTGACCCAGTGTTTCAAAGATTGTCGATCTGATCAGGAATCGGTGATACCGCTCCATATGCAGTATTGGTAAAACCCGATGTGGATCCTATTTTTTTATTTTTCAATCCGGAGTTCTTTTTTTGCACCCTGGTTTTTTTGAAATATGATTGACAATTTTCATGCCTCCAGCGCCTTCATGCCAGCCTTCCTCCCACGTGATTGACAATCCTTCCTTCATGCCAGCTGGCGTCGCCACCTTAAAACTCCTCAACGTATAATACACACGCTTCACATGGCCAATACAACATTCAATCTAGCCAAATCATTGGGTTCTTTTATAGCATTTCTTCTCACATCACTTCGATGTGGGATATATCTGAGTTAAAAAAAGGCTGGTAAATATTATTAGCTCGGGATAAATTGCAATGAGATGGTGTACATATAATGGTGTACGCACGACGATGTATGCCCATCATGAATAAGAAAGTTGTATGCTCGATTGTGGCAATGAAATTTGACGATAACAAAAGAAAAAAAATTATTAAAAGTAATAATTAGGTGCCCATCACCCCTATCTTTCACCAAAAAACTTTTAATTTACTTACCAAAAAAACATAAAAATTCTATTAAGCTATTATATCATGGCATTATTTCATTATATGAGTAATAATTAATTAATTAGTTAATTAGGATTAAAAATTTAGTAGTAGCGCATAGGATAATAGAAATAAAAATAATAAAAATATCATTTCTAGTCTATTGGATATTAAAAAAAAAAAAGTTTAGAAGATATTTTAAGATAGAAAATAACACTAACTCATACCACTTTAGAATTTATTTCAAGTTGCTTTATCAATTATCCCACCACAGTGCAAATATAATTTTTTTAATTTATTAATAACCAAATATTTTATATTATTTATTAATTTGTTCATATTATAAATTTTATAATATATTATTTTTTCTTATAATTATAAATAAGATTTTTTAAATTAGATGATATATAAGACATTTTATATTTTTATTTATATAGTAAAATAATTTTAAATTATAAAGTTATGAATTAACAACCTCAATTTCCATATATATTATTATATTTAGTTAAGTTGTAATAATTTTGGATAAGTAAAACAAATTAATAAATGTTTAATACTTTGATGTGATACTAATTTATGTGGGAAATTAATTTTTTTAATCTTCTAATATGAGAGTGTTTGTAACTAGTTACTTCACAATGCAAGTATGAATTTATTTATTTATTTTTTAATTTTATTAAAATATTATTGTAAATTTATATTTCTAAATTCTATATTTCTATCCAAACTAATTGTTATATATTAGATTTATTTATTTGTGAGGGTCATACCCTTGTTTTTTAAATCACGTTTATTATAATATTGTAATTAATAATTATACTAATTACAATGATAACTAAGTCTTATATTTTATTTATTAATTTATTTATTTTAATTATACAGATATCCAGAGAGAAAAACATCGTCTCAAGAATCACCTATGTTTACAAAGTAATGAAAATGAAAAATGCACCACTCCTAAATTCATTTACAAATGAAAATAACATGATTTTTAGAGGTTTATAGTAATTTTTCAAAGATTTTTAAGATAAAAATTGCCGATGTTACTCAATTTTTTATCCAAAACTCTAATTTACCAATCTAAATGGGTTTTTTGGATGCCCAATTCGAAACACCGATCCATTTTTTAAACCACTGCTTAGACCCCTTTTCGAACGATCCCACTGTAGGTACCTATCATAAACCCGTTTTGACATGACAACCATATTTTCAAGCACCATGATATCGTCGGACATGCAAAGATGTGTACACAAACATACACACGCATGCAAAGATGTGTACACAAACATACACCCACGCGTGTCTGTACAGATACCATGCTCCTACAAGAGCAATTACTCAAAACGGAAAACCGACTTTTACGGATTTTTAATATGAGATTTCAAATCCGTTTTACAATCATACGAGTATTCCTAAACACAGAAGTTAAATTTTAGAAAAGTATATAAACAGACTGTTTAGTTTATATGAGGATGCAACTTTAAAATGGAGAATTATAGATTCACCTCAAAAATCCATCCAAAAAGGTTATTTTAATATTGACAAACCCTCTAGTTTATATAAAGATGTTAAAAATGTAGAATTATAGATGCACTTCAAAAATCCATCGAAAAAGTTATTTTAATGTTGAAAACCATCTGGACATTGAAATGTACGAATATAAAAAAAAATTAAAAAAATTATAAATACCAAAAATAACGCATCTTACAACCCATTACCTAAACCATCATCCATTTTCAAGATTTTCATATGTTTATAGATCTACTTGATTTTAATTATTTTTGGAATTTAAAATTTTATAAATAGATATAAAAATAGATTTTCAGATAATCTTAAAAATGTTTTAGACCAAGATTACATGTTATGATAAAATTTGACGGTGTGCCTTAATTGGATTGTTTAAGGTTGCAACCTAATAGAAACCACGCCCCTCATTTTCAATACAAGGTTACAATCATTATTGTCTTTGTTATATTTTCCTTGAAGATCCCAAATTCAAGATCTTCTTGGTTTTTGGACCAGCTTAACTACCCTAAACAAAAAGAAACTGCATAATTGCATTTCCATAACAAAAATAAACATTTATCACTAATTCTCTCTAAAAAAAATAACATTTATCACTAATACGTCGTCAACTTAGAAAATACATTAAAAAAAAAACAAAATTCTTCCCAGTTTTTTATTCCCAAGTCTCACCGAAATACAAAGGAACTTTCTCACCATCCAACTCCAGTTAAAACCAACAGAAAATTCTCCATTCTTCATGCCCATCCAAACCAACAAAAAAATTCCTCATTTCTTCCTTCCCATCTTCTTCCCTTTCTTATTAGCCGATCCCCCAAGCCCTTTACTTTTACCTTTGCCACCCTTTCCCCCCACCTTTACTCCCTTTCCCCCCATCTTTACTCCCTTTCCCTTCTTTTTACCAACTTTTCCAGGCTTCCCCATCCCATGAGTCCTCATATCTTTCTTCATTCGTGGATCCACCAACACTTTACCTTTTCCGGGCTTCACAGGAACCCCCTTCTTCGCTACCTGGTACTCTTTATTTGGCCTTTTAGGTGCTGCCTTCTTGTAAAGCTTGTCAATCATCTTAGTCTTTGATCTCTCTGAAATATCTGTCTGATCTGAAATAGAGTTTGCCTTTCTCTTCACAGACTCAAGCTTCCTCATGGCCACTCTCTTCTTCCTAGCCTTGGCTTGAGCCACCTTCTTGGCTGGCCGAGCATCTATCTCCCTAAATTGGGCCTTCATGGCTTCTACCTCTTCTCGAGTGATGGGCTTTAATGGCTTGTTGTGCCTCTTTTCGTCCTCCAAAAACCAAACTGGCAAACCCTCCTGGTCGTCAAATGTATACCTGTTCTCTTTTTTTATTCAGTTAGCAATGAGGAAGTATGCCTTTGACGTAAAGAAGATCATGCACATTGTTACATAACTATTCATAGAAAAAAAAAAAATTATCCCAACTAGGAGCATTATGTTTAACATGGGGTTTAGAGTTCTTCTATTTTGATAGGGGCAGGTCTTTTATGTTACCCTTGCAGAAGTAAAGGTGTACCTGTTATAAGCATCATCAAGTATCTGCTCCCTTTGCTTCTTCCTCAACATCTTCTTTGCATAGGCCAAGATTTCAGCCTTTGAGTCAGTGTCATACTCTGATTCATCACCATCAGAAGATGAATCATCACTTGATGAGGAGCCCTCAGCAGGGACAATTTCAAAGTCATCTTGTTGGGATACCTGACCAAGGTCATAAATCTTTACACTAAAAAAATCTCCAATGAAGTCTATTGCCTTTTCTTTTTGTATCTATGAACAATTAATTAGTTATATCTATATGAATATGAATGCATGCAAATTGTGTGTGTACGTGTGTATATCGAAAAGAAAATGCAGGAATGTCAATCCGATTCTATTAGAACTATATTCATGGTATTTTCCAAACCTATCATCAAACTTACTCTTCTCCCTGGCAAATTGTATTATCATGTTTCCTCGTTTTCAGGCATAAAGATGACCAAAGACCAAAATATTAAGAACAATTCAAATCCCTTACCTGACTTAAGGAATCAAGCTTATTTGGCCCCAACTTTTTCGAGATAGAAGGTGTGGGGGCATCTTGGATGACATCTTCCACTTCATTTTCACCATCATATTTGGTTGCTGCCTCTTCTGGTTCTGTTGATGCAAACACATCCTGACTGAACCATTGTTCAGTGAGTTGCTCTTTGGTGAGCGGCAGCTCCTCATGGAGTGGTACTACTAAAGGATTTGCTTCCATATCCTGGTCTACATCGGAATCACCTGCCAAGTCTTGACCACCAACCTGGGTATCCTGCATGTAAAATTTCCTTGCATTAATAAATGATCTCACAAGTTATCTTGCATAGTAGTTATATTTGATATCAAGTTAATAATAGAAATAACTGATATCAGCAAACATATTAGCAATCTTAAAATTTTGATTTATTATTGAAGGGTGATTATTAATCAACGAAAAAAAAGAAGATCTGATATTTTTTGTAGAGAATTATATACTGTTTTGTAGAGAATTATATACTTCCCTAGAAAATGCTTTTGCGCACAATTATGTAGAAATTTGTTATGATGATAGATTTCAGATGAAGTTCAGCTTTTTAATGTAACTTCTGCTTCCAACCTTAATTAAAGTCCAAAACCATTTAGAAATCATGAAACTTAAACCCATCATAAGCAAGTGCCAATACTCTGGTTTGAAATGATACCTTCCATAGTTCACCACTTCCATCTGCTAAGGCTAGCCTCGCACGTTTGCGCTGCTTGGAACTTCCTTCCTTTCCAGTCACAAACCTTTCATAAGCTTGATCTAGAAACTCCTCAAGTTGTTCATCATACCTAACAAGATGAGAATTTGTTCAAACGAATTCCCCAAATTTAACAATTCAGAAAAAGAAAAAAAAAAGGACTTTCCCACATACATAAAATGATATTTATGTACTAAGCAAGCATACAAACCTCAAGTACATTCTTTCTCTAAATAAGCGAAAACTAAATGCACGACAAAGATTTAGAAGACCAACACATGAAGTTGCATCAGGTTATCCCTGCATCAAGAGCGTCCGCAATCTTCCCACTTCAACCCCAGCCAGTAAATCAACCCATCCATTCTATCCCAAAGAGCATGAGAAAAGGAAATGGACAATGGCTCACAAATGGTGGAAACCTATGTGAAATGTGAGTGAGTCTCTTAAGGAATGGCAATTCAGTTAGGGCCCATCTGATCATGTTGAAGCAATCTCCCTTGACTAAAGGAGAAATCAAGAAGATACCCAATCCCACAAGAACAGCATGGGCCTCCCTCGACCTTAAGGATCCTTCTGTCACACCTCTCAAACAATCCCCTAATTCCAGCTGGTTTGGAAGTACCAGTCAAACTATTGCTAATTTACTTCTTTTCTTCTTTTGGCTTAGTTACCCAGGGTTAGGGCCCCACTGGTTTATCAATCAACAAAAATATTCACTCAATAAAACAGTAAAACTATTGAGCTTCATTGACATAATATGAAGAGACTTGCAATTCAACAAATGTCTAACACACTTCTAATCCATTCTCCGATCCTTAATAAGATTGAAAGCCCAAAATTCCTTCCCAACAAGCTCCCATGCTATTATGCATCCCTGGTATGCTCATTGATGGTCAAAACACAGTACGTAGACCACTAAAAGCTCAGTTGTTCTTCTCACCAAAAGAACCAGAACATAAGCAACGAGCTGTCTCCAAAGAAGAGATCTTTGACAAGGAATGGGATCGGATGTCAAAAGTTCTCTCTTTTGCCAAACTAAATGACTTGAGCTTCCAGTGAAATCAAACCTAAGATACAGAAGCGGCACTGTGCTTTGGTCAAAGAGTCATCAGGAATGTACTGATAGATCTGCCTAATCCAGTCTTTTTATTGGACAACATAGATCATGTCAGCTTCGGTCTTATTTTTGCCAAATGGCAACATAATAACTATAGCACTTCAAAGAAATGGCAAAAACTGTATGATGTACCTTTGGTGTTCTTCATCAGAATCAATGTCACTACGAGAATCCTCCTCACCTTCACCTACACCAGTTTCTTCACTCTCACTTTCCACATTTTCACCATTTATATAGTCAACCTCAGTTGAATCAACAGCTTGCAGATCTTTTTTCCCCTGAGAATCCACAAGAAAGGAAATGGAAAACATCACTCAGATTCATAGAAGAACATCAATAACGAGAGCCTCAACAAAACCTAAACTTCGAGAAAACTATCATGTAGCAAGTACAAGCGAGCAGTCACAATTCAAACATGAAAATTTTATATTTAAAATTTGAGACAACAAAAATGTGCTATCGAAACCAAGAATAGAAGCATGAAAGCGTAAAAAAGTGCATGGTTATTAATTATAATACAAAGGGAACTGAGTTATTGCATCAAAGCAAATTATGAAATGCGGTACACATAAACAATAACAAACTTGTAGAAAATTAGAGCAATAACAATGACAGACTGAATATTATTGTTATGGGACTCGTTGATGGAGCATATTAATACGAAATTTAGAGAGGGGAGTTAGGTAGAACAGTTATGACAGAGTAACAAAATCAATTTTGAATGTAACCGGATGGACAAGCATGGAAGCTCTTTCCTTGTGCATAGAAGCCAATGAGCTAGAGGTGATTCTTGAGATGGCCATCTCCCTAGAGATACATTTTTTTGAAGGTTTAAATATAAATCATTGTAGCCCAGGTGGGAATCGTTACAGCAGGTTTGCATATTTTGGATGCTACACTTCTTAAATATATCCTTGCATGCACTTCTTGTTTCACTTTTCAGAATATCAGCATAGCAGAGTAGGCAACATGAAATTGTCCTCTAGTTATGAAGAGATCCACGAAACTAAATGACAAAAAGCCAAAACAATGAATCGGAAGGGGTCCCATGTATGATGGAAGTTTCCGAAATTTTTATATAGGGATGCAGAAAGACCCACAAGAACAATAGTACCATGTCACAAGAAATAATTTCTGCAATTTTTATATAGGGATGCAGAAAGATCCACGAGAACAAGAGTACTACAATGTCATAAGAAATAATACTTCCAAAATATAATTACTTCTTCACCCAACAAACTTCGGTCAATATGAGCAACTGGAATCTTAGAAGCCAAATCAAAAGGCCATACATTTTAACCATTTGCAGAAACCAAAATAAGTGTAATGTTTCACATCTATATGTTTGAAAGTTCAGCAAAGTTGAATAACATTATTTTTAAGCTCTAAAAAGTTGGTACCCAAATTCACATGAGAAATCAAACTGAGTTCAAATTGGAATTTTTGGCTTTTTCTCATTTCCTGAAGAAATTTATAGAGCATAATATAATCCTTGTGAGTATAGAGGATCCATTGTCAAGAGGGTCATCACCATCCAATCAATGTTGGATGGTGATAAGAGAAAGTGGAACCTGTAAGAATACTACACAACTCTAATGAAGGATTCTACTCTTTCCCCATCAATGTCCAATCACTGAATGGACAGTGACTCAAAAATGAATAAATTAAGATTCATTTCTGAGTTATAACCAATGTTTTACATAGACATGGAGATTGCAATATATACTTTCTCATATAACTATAACAATGAATTTCAGCAAAGACAATTCAATTTTCAATTTTCCTTCCCTCAGCCAAAGCAAAAATTTTTGCTAAGCAAAAAAGATTCATCATCACTATCACCGAGCCTTCTCCCAACTATTATGGGTAGATTACATGTATCATGTTCTGCAATTCTGCTCTATCAAGGGCCATACCCTCGATCAGACCATAAGTCACCATATCTCTTCTCACTAATTCCATACATGTCTTTTTGGGCCTTCCCCTAGCCCTTTTATCCCCTCAATAAATTACACTTTGGTCCCACATAACTGTACGACGTTAATATGAATACACAAATACCAGCCTTACCATTCAATGACTTTGTCTAGCAACTAGACATTAGCAATCAAGCTAACAAGAACCAACATGAAAAACATATGGAAAATATAACAGATACTATATAGTTTTAAGCTCTTATGGATCGTTCTCATCTTTTGATACGTAAAGCTTGATCTTTTGTTAAGAAAATGCCCATCATGTATCAACATATTTGGCTTACAGCTCCAGTTGTTCAAGCAAACTAGCTACTCTAAGACATAGTTGATTATATAACAAGGAGGCACTCACATCACATCCTAAACCAAACACCACCCAACCCCCCCCCCCCCCCCGGCCGCCTGGGTTTTCTCTTTTTTCCCCCTTTAGGTATATTTTCAACATCAACAATAGACTAAAAACCTATAATATATTGAATGATGTATGTCACATAACTAATATCAGAAAAAAATATATCAAGAAGATCTAAACCAAAAAGCCACAAAACTACAAATACTTGGATACAGGAATCAAAACAAATGGAAATCAAGACCAATCAATGACAAGCACATTGGTGAAGGCTTGTACAAAGAACCAAAATGGTATATTGGTAATTCCAAACAAAAGGAAGTGCTATGCAAACTAGTGTAACTCCAAGCATGACAAACCTTGATGGAGGATAGAGAAAACAACTCATTGTCAATGTAACCATCTTCCATTGCATCTATTTGCATTCCTGTCTTTGTACGAGATTTTTCCTGGAGATTCAGGATGAACAAAACAGTGTCATTGATTTTTCTCATCAGTACAAACTTCTCATAGTAGTTGGAAAAGATTTAAGAAGTCTAAGAAAAATCTTTTAAACAACGAATATGAATATCAATAAAACGATAAATAGAAACAAGTAAATGAACCTTAGCCCGTCGTTTTGCAAGGAGTTTCTTTGCTCTTTTCTTCTTGCTGTCCAAAACATAAGTCAGCTCCTCCATTTCGTTAAGTATGCGCTCATCATCATTTTCCTGAGTAGTCATCCCATCTTCTTCATCAGAAGCCTTAGGAGCAGCAACTTTCTGTTCACGTAACAAGGCCTTTCTTATGTGCATGCGCCACCTGAAGTTCATCTCGAACTCAATATATTACCTAATTTTGCGGATTATGACAATGTTTCCAATTTAAAAATCCATTTAAATTTCCTAGGCTCAAAGAAAAACACTTGGAGATGGACGTCACACAAAATATATTTCCTAATATATTTAAGTGCAACATAAAAAGACAGATCCGCACAAAACAGTTGAAAGATTTTAGAGTTCCTTAACATGAATAAGGATGCAACTCATCTCTCATTGAAGAAGTCTCTTGTTCATCATTCACATACACATCTATATGTTTGCAACAACAGGAGCTTGATGTATATTCTTTTCTTATAAAAAGAACATTTATCTTGTCTTCTGAGAAAAAAGTAAAACATACACTTCGTCTCTAAGAAAATATCCTGCAATATAACATAGAATGCATGACAATTACTCTCTTTGGTAGCACCGGAAAATTTTCATAGCAGCCTGTATTTTTTTTTGCGTAATATCAATGATGATTTAAATGGGCGGCAACAAAATAACTTGAATAGAATTAAAAAACAATATTGCCAAGAATGTTGTAAGAAGCAAGGGGAATGATAGTGAGAAAGAGAACAAAAGTAGGACATGCAATGACTTTAGAGTTTGAGATATTTAACGTAGAAAGGATCAAGATAAGTCAATAATTGCATGCTGAACCCCACTATAGACAGTAAATTACAACAATTAAATACATGTGCTCAGCTAAATAACTAAAATGCATTAGTAGGACTAAAATGCATTAGTAGGACTTCCAATTTCATCAGCAACTAATTCTACACGAATTCAAGTTCCATAAGAATTTCAGGGCTTCCATGCATCTGATTCATAAGCAATTAAGAGAGAAATAATAGTGCACAAAGCAATCAAGCTAAGGAACAGGTGGAAGATGGCAGGTACGGTTCAGTATCCATGAAGAAAAAGGAAGCCAGATTAATAAAATAATAATAATACATACTTCAGTAGCAGCTTAAAATCTTGCTTTCCCAGAATGAGCAAATCATCACATAGTGCTTTGATCTGCAAACATAAATATAAAATAGTAAGCTCATAGAGAAACAAAATATAGAATAGAGCTACATCACCCGTCAAGTAACTTACTTCTTCTGTTGTTAAAGGATGTTCTTTGATGGTCAAACAAGCAGGATCCTCGAAAGATATACATGTAACTGATCCAAGAAGATCCAAAGGCGTCTCTGACAATACAAATTCAGATGCCAAACACACCTTTCGCAAGATTGAAGCTCCATCCTCATAGCTGCATATGACAATTAAGTTGGAGATGAGAACAACTCCAATGAAAAAGAATAACTAAATTGGAAACATGGATTATAAAGGAAATATCACAAACACAAAATAAAACAAGTTTTAGAATAATGTCAATTACTCAGAATAGCACTAAATTTTTAGTTAAAAAAACAAGAAATCAATTCCAGGCATGAAAAAGACGACAAGCCTAGTAAACCATACTAGCACCAAGGAATCTATCAATACCCCAAAATAATACACAAATAAATAAGAAAAATTATCAATTGGTAATGACTTCATCTAATAACCACAAGCACATAAGAACAAGAGAGATTACCCCTCACGATTTCTCTTTTGCTTGGTTCCTCTAAGAACATCCATCACCTACGTGAATTGAGTAAATACAGTTCAAAAACAATAGAATCAAATTGGGAAATTAAAAGTACATGAAAGAGTTTATCATTCTTCAAGATCATTCAAGAAAAGGCTAACATTCTTCAAGAATGCATTTGGCTGACAAACAGAGTACCTTTGGGGGTTCTATAGCCCCTTGAAATAGATGTTTAACATCAAGAAGCCGTGGATCAATCTTTGCAGGAGCTTTATATCCATGCCCCACAACATAAATTTCAGCAGAAGTTGAACGACTTGCCGTGGGTTTGGTCACCTCAACTTTCTCAAACAACTGCAATTCATACTTTAAAGATCAACCCAAAGGAAAAGCATCCAGACAGGTCAAAAAGAGAAATTTTTGCTATGAAAAAGATTATACCTGCTTTAGACAATAAAGTACTGCATTGTAATCTTGTGACCTGAATACCTATGAGATGAAATGTCACACATGCTTAGACGGATATTAAATACTTAAATTATTGTATGACTAAGAACATCTAGAAAAGAAGATTGAGCACCAGAAGCATAATTATATGTAACACACAAAGGAAGCATATAAATGTAAGTATCGCACAAAGAAATGGTACAAGAAAGGCATTAAATAAATAACACTTTCAAACTTACAGAGAGTTCTCAAATTATAAGAATGGGCCCAAAGCATAAGTCGTCAAGGTAGTGGGGTACTACAACATGACATCTTGGTCTCTACTCCTTCCAAATCCCAAGTTAACATTTAAAATTAAAAAAAGAAAAATAGTGGAGAAAATATCACTTGCTCAAGCTCAGGCTCAGGAACTCACTAAGCCAAGATACTAGCAAGTTCATCAGCTTCCCCGTGGATATGCCAGAAATAGAATCTTCTCTAATACTAAGAATCTCATGGATATCTTACAAACTATATAGAAGCTTCAATTGGAAAGGGCAATCCCCAGTTCTCCAACAAATTACATTAGACGAATCCCTTTCAAATATTAGAAGGCCAAAGAGGATGACACAAAAACTGAGATGCTAAAGGAAACGATATAGTTTTGGTATCCACAGAGTCCATGATGCCAACTGGAACCTTCCTTGATAGCGCTATCTACAAATCCCACCAGCACAAAGTCTCAAGGAAGCTTCCATCAAAATTAAGGTAGAAAACAACTGCCCAAAACTTAATGTAGTTTCACTAAACATACATACCTAACTCACAAAACATATCGCCTAGTCTACTCTGTGGTTCCTCGCTATCCACCACTACAGTACCCCTAATGCACTGAGAATTCAATCCTTTGTATCCTCCAAAAGTGCCAGAAAGAATCGAACAAACAGCACTTCCAAAGAAAATGACCATGCTTATGAATGGACCAGGACCAAGAACTGAACTTCATTCAAGAATCTTAAAGCACCCAACCAACTCTGAAAAGATTTCTACTATCAAGTGCCAAAGTCAGTAATCATTGTATTCTATAAGCACCCCAAAAAAAACGCTCCTCAGTAGCAGATGGGTATCTTGCCCTGAAGAGCTACAGTTTTGTTCAAATGTGCAATCAATGTTGTAAAAATCAAAGCCCATATTGTGAAACCCATTCTCCATAATCAAAACCCAAAGGAAAAGGACTCAAATCTGAGGGTAGTCGGACAACATTACCCACAAAATGAAGTTTCTGGAATGACAAAAAACCTAAGATCTCAAAATTAAAATCCATACTACAAGACGATTCAACAATAAGGCATTTTTCAGTGAACAGTGATATCTACTACCATTAAATGACCATATGAGGGTTTAAAGAGAATATAACAATTAGATATCCAATAGTGTAGTTGGGAGCGAGTAAGCAACTTCTTAGTCATGAACTATGCACACTAAATCTCCAATTTCCCGAATTGAGGCATAGACGAGCTCAAAAAGATACCTTAGTCAATGAACAGTAACTTGTAATCTCTCATTGAGCAAAAAGCTAATGCATAGTTTATGCAATGTGATGATTTTCGCCTCATAATTAGCAATGCTCACATAAACCTCACTCTCAGTGACCCAACCAATCAAGTTACAAACAAACAAATCAAACTTTATATTACATCAATAAATACATCGAAACATACCATTGTGATCTCAATCCATCCACCATGAACTAAAAGTCAAAAACGAAAAAAATCAAACAAAAGCAGTCCAGGGAGAGAGAGATAGATGAGAGAGACGAGAGAGGGAACCCTTTAATACCTTAGTGACAAAGGTCCCCTTGGGCACAAGGAACTCCGACGCAAGCCGAACAGCATCCACCACCAATGCAGCCTGACTGGTCGCCTCCTTCGCCCATGCCCCTCCAACATTTGGGGACCCATCGTGCAAAATTACGTCAAATGCCCCACACCCGTTCTCCCCCATCTTCTTCCTAATGGCAGACCTACAGTCCTGGGTCGTGATATCACCCTGTATGGAAACCGCGCCTCGGATCGGCCTTATATGCACAAGGTCCACCCCCAGCACAAAGCTGCCAACGGGCATGTGCTTCACTGCAACTTGCATCCACCCACCAGGGGCGGCACAGAGGTCCAAGAGCGACCTAGCTGAGGGCAAAATGTTAAATTTGGAGTTCAGTTGTATAATTTTGTAGGCTGCTCTTGACCTGTAGCCTTGTTCTTTGGCGAAATGGTAGAATTTATCGAGGCGATGTTTGCCCTTTGCTTTTCCCATTTATTCTGATGGGTTCTACGCAGAGATTGAGAGGGCGTTTATGGCTGTAAAGTATATGGAGCTGGGACTTCTTTGTGTGCTTAAGGATTTGATGTTTTTGCAGGAGCAAATATGGTTATTTTGAACCCTAGGTGATAATGAAACTTAAACCCTAGAAAATAAAACCACAAATTTGGAGAGATTCTAAAACATGATCTGTAAGAGAAGAATCTGTACAGTGTAATTGGAAGTGAGAAAAGGGGACCTTTGCTAAAGAAAGCCCTAATTTCAAAAACTGTGGATTCTTCTTGGGAGATTGGGTCTTCAAAACCCAAGCTGAAATACTTTTTTGAGAGTCCTTATCACTGTTGCTCAAAACCATGGAGCAGAGATGAGGCTCGTACAGGGTTTCAGAATGAAGCTTAAACCCCATGACGCCTAAACCCTATTCAGAGGGATTTTAACGTACATGCGGGATGAATTTATCAAATTTACTATTTTGGCCTCATAAGTTCGGTCTTCATCGACAGAGATGGACGTTGCGTAATGGACGATGCTAAAAATATCGAAAAAAAAAAAAAGCGAGGCTAGCATGCGGCCAAGTTCGCACTCGTATAAATTCGGGCTTGGTAATAAATATATTTTTTAAATATAATTTGATCTTAATTTTTAGAAACTATATAATCTTTAACATGGAGATTTGAATATCAAAAATAATAAATTTAAAAAATTAGAAATAATAATTATATGAAGAAAACAATAACTAATGATCCAAATGTTTTTAGCTGGACCACCTATTTGCATCCATCTTTAATATGGATATTTTATACTTATGGACCGTATATTGTACAAATGCGGTCCAGCCCGCATAAAATAATTGTTCAAAACAAAACAGAAGTACATTTTAAAGTTCAATTTTTTTTTTTTCATATATATGATCAGCTTGGCTTAAATAATGAATCCCTGAAATTTTAAATAAAAAATTCATCTTTAAGGTGAAGTTTAGAAGGGGCTGCATATGTACATATCAAATGGCTTACTCATAGAGCCTCATCCTAACTACAATATTGATATTTTAGTTTATTTTATTGTTTTTATATTTATAGGGGTTTTTCAATATATCGAACCACCCCATTTGTAGGATGGTGAGATAACTACAAAAGAACAAGAAGTAGGTCCAAAAAGACACAACAGGTACCAAGATTCATAAAGCCGACTCTAAATAGTTGGGAAAAAGTTTTGATGTTGATGATAAGATAACTATAACATTGGACCATCCAATATTTTTTTGCCCTATGTTGTCTATAAGGCAGTCTAATGTTATAAACATCGAATTGCCCTTTTCTATAGCTTTTTTATAGTTTAGTGCTCAAAAATTTCAAACATCGAACTACGTTTTGAGCTTTTTGTTTTTTCCTAAGTATATGTCGTCCGATAGTTGAAACTCATACTGCTACAAACATCGAACCACCTTATAAAGAAGGATGGGCCAAAAATGTAGGGGCAATCCAATGTTGCAATTATCGGACTACCTTATAAATGGGGTGGTTCAATATTTTCGACATCAGATTGCCCCATTAATGTAAAAACAAAATAAAAAATAAAAAATAAGTGTTTCGATGTTTGAAACATTGAATAGATGTCAAATTGAGGGAAAACATAATAAAAAAGTATAAAGTTGCTATAAGGCCTGGCTTTATGAAAACAAACTAAAGCCTCACCTTGATTCCACGTTCAGAGAGCTCTTTGGGCATTAGAAACTCCATGATGACTCTAAAATCAATTTCCAACACCGACTACAAAATTTGAAGCTAAAAAATTGTACAGATCTTGTGGAACCGTGAACACTTATTTTTAGGGCGAAATGGATGGTCTACATAATGTATTATTTAATATACACTACTTCTAAAGTTTAAAATCCTAATTTTTTTCCACAACCATATTGGTCAAGGCCAAGATGATCGATTTGAAAGTTTTTTTTACGTCAAATTTGCAATTTTGGATGACTTTTGAAGTGAGGTTTGACTTATTTTGATCAGGCTGCATCCCATCAAAACATTTTCCTAATACAAATGAGGACAGCAGGACCTCAATAGTCAGTATAATTACTGAACTTATGGATCAAAGGGTAAATTTGGTAATTTTACCCAATCCATAAGTAAAAATCCCACTACCCATTTATTAAACAAGTCAAGTTTAAGTTGAGACAAAGGCCAATATGAGCTAGGTTTAAGCTTGTGAATACGTATGCCAGTGCATATACTTCTACTCCCTCGGTCAGAAGACCTACCTAAAAGGATTTTTTCAATCTGAAATTTTGAGAACCACTTAAGGATTAATAGATGATTATTTAAAAAATAAATAAAATTTAAATTTTCTAACACTTAGATCTCACTATCTAAAAATTGGATGGTTTCTATTCAATCTCGGGATATTATTTTTTTCAAGTACATGGAGGGTATAATTAGGAAAAAAATTTATTGAAGCTGATTCACATATTGAGGGGGTTACATCCCTAAATTTTAGCATCCCAAAATTATTTCTAAGTGGGATTTTACCCAAGGGAGTACATGAACATTCTACTCCCGATGGAGTGTAATATCTTTTGGCTAAGTTGTTTATGATATAAAGGGTGAGTTTTGTATAGGGTGCCCACCTTATACTATACAAGTAAGCCACACCTCTAAATTTTGTCGAAAGATGTAGTTGTAGTGTTTGAAACCTTATGATGGCTTGAAAATCATGTTCAACTGTAATTACCATAATTAAAATTCCTAAAACGGTACAAATTGAGCTGATCTATAGACACTTGAAAATTATTAAAATAGACTATCTGAATAACTTATTACCATCATAAACACTTATTTTTAGGACTTGAATTTTTTTTTCCTTTATTTTCATACAACAAGAGGTGGAGATGATCAATAGGGAAGTTTTCCAACTTAAGAACACTCTTTTCTAGTGGATTTTTGAGGTGCAACTTACTTCTATAGTAAAAGGCTGCAAGGTTATATAGACTTTTTCCTATTTTATATGAACTTAAGGGTATGCTTCTTCAAAGTTTGATCGGGTTTATATATGGCTTGTGTAATTAAATAAGTCAAGACACGCTTTATATGAGTTTGCTAATTCATATGTAGATCTATTTTTCAGATGGGCTTTGAACCCAATCTTTTACAAATATATAATTCCTAACATGGGAATCATTAATATGTAAAAAGCAATATTTTTTAAAGTGCAATTTTTTACCGTCAATGTTATTCTTTGGTGGGATTTGTACTTTTAACATGCATCTTTAAGATGGATGCTTGGTGCAATAGGGGGCGTTGATATTAAATTGCATCCCCCTATACACAATAAAACTTTTCCAATAAGCCAAGCCTACCCAAGCCCAATTGGCTTTGGCTCCGGCCTTCCCTAGCCATCCACTTGCCATCCCTACCTCCGAGCAAGCAGTTTTTGGCACAAGGGAGTGGGGTCATGCTCCTTTAAGTAAAATGGAGAGATACCTTTATTGTTCTCGATAAACAACTGTGTGGCATAGGAGGTAGCAATGTTTTAAAACCAGACGATTTCTGAATCGAATTATCGATCTGGATGGGAACCGGACGGGACTGAACTAGTTTAAGGATGATATTGCCCCAACCCAGTTCCCATAAAAAGCCCCACCTCTTTTTTTCGTTTTTTTCTCTTTTTTTAAGCTTGTCTAATTTTTTCTTATGTCCACTTAAATCCCTAACCCATAACCCCTATTGTTTTTTATTTTATTTTATCTATTTTTAATTTTTTTAATCACCTGTTTGAACCGATTTAAACTAATTCGGAGCGTTGATCTAGTGATCCAACATGGATTTTGTGAGTGAATGATCTGCCCTACTAATCTGGGTTTTAGGGCACTAGGAGGTAGGGTAGTAAATGCTTCATAAAAATCAAATAGACCGTTGAAATTCACTTAAACTGAATATGTTGGGGTCACCAACATAATCCTACTTTATTGAGCAAAATTGTAGACATGAGGGTGAATCCTTAGTGTGAGGGTACACCCAAGTAGACTACACCCATGCATGTTTGACTTTTGTTACTACATGAATAGAGGTGGGGAGAGGCTTCTCCTCTTCATGAGGGGATTGCCCTCCCATAAATAGCATGCACCATACACCTTAAGGGAACACATTTATGAGGAGGTTACTCCCACATGAATGAGATGATAATTTTTCTCATTATAAAAAGGGGAGAGGTAGAGGTCTCTACAAACTACAACACACATGAGAAAGTGTGAGAGTTAAACTCTTGAGAGAGAGAAAAAGAGTAAGAGAGAGAGAAAGAGTGCAATCCCTCTCCCACTTGAGATCTAAAGAGAGATTCAGTCCTGAGAGATAAAGAGTTGTCGAAAAAGTCGAGTTTGTACTGCTCTGAAACAGATTTTGGTAGCTCTAGTAGTTGTCGAACATGCTACGTGAGTTCGTCGTTTATCTCCACATTCGTTCATAAAATTGTTGTGCAAGCACTCAGGCATGAGACCTAGTTTTTTATTGTTTTATTTTACTTCCGCTTCGGCCGTTGGACCGTATTTTTTCAGCATTGGTATCAGAGCCATCGTGGAATCGGGTTCCAATTGTACACACATTATCATTCCCACCTTACTTGTGAAGGCTTGTTACAAAATGCACATGATGGTTATATTGAGACCATAGGCATATGCACTATATAATCTTATGTACTGACCACATAGTTGTATTGGCTTTATGCATGGGCTATGCCAGTTGAGGCATCCTAAACCATGAGTACCATGGCTAATTAATCTTGATAGGCCTCATATATTAAGCCGTACATGGTAGGCCCTACTCTCTTTTTTTAGCATTTTAAGGCTGCACAAAAGGGTATTTTTTTGTGGGAGTGCGTTTAGGAAGGTGCACCGCTTGCAAATTGTGAGCTATTTGAGATGTTAGATCTAAGAAAGAAACTTGGTATTGATTACAAGCAAGAGTTCAATGTGGCCACGCGAAGTTTTCATATCAAGATTTTTAAGGGTCAAGTTTTTTTTTCAAGTAGCTAGACAATTAACTTGCGTAAAAGTGATAATCTAAGTGCAATCATGAATGAAACAAACCATGAGACATCCATATTAATTAGTGCAATTTTGTTGTTTTGACTTAGAATGGCTTCTAAAAATGTGATTGCGGATCTCACTAAAGGTGAAATTGAGTGGGAGCAATTTTCCTAAATGGAATAGGAAAATACAATACCTTCTTAATGAGTAAAGTACACTTGAACAACGAACTACCATTAAGCAAAAACCTGAACAAGGCACTACTGAAGAACTTTTCCGTGAGTATGAGACATGGGACAATGCTGACCGTAGCACTCGATTTACTTTATAAAGTACTATGATTTATGACCTCATTCGTGAATTCGAGGGATTCACCACGGCGAAGACCATGTGGG